TTTTCTTTGTTAAATATGGTATATATGTTCTCTATGTATGATGTGACTTGGTTCATCATTTCTTCATGAGCAACAACTTGCATGAATACATTTGCTTTGCAGTTTGGCATGTTGATCGAATTCCTCTTTGAGAAGTTTCCAAATTTTGAAGATGTTAATGAGAAAGCCATCAGAGATCTACAGGTGAGAGAGCTCCTTAATTTTAAAGGTCAATGACTATTATTGAGGTCAAAATTTTCTTGATCATTGTGCTTTCCCACCAGACGGATAGATGCAGGGATACATTTTTAGAATTCTAACTTAACTGATGCATTGTCTAGGTGTTCTACAAAAACTCTAAAGAGAAGTTCGACACTGATCCTGTATTTAAGGAGAAAGCAAAGAGTGCTGTGGTTCGTCTTCAGGTAAACTATTTACACGTTAACTTAAAGGGAGAAGCGAGAGATTGGTCATGGACATCATAGTTATACAAGGTATGAACCTTTTAGGTAATATAATTTTTTTTTTCTGTTTTTAGGGTGGAGAGCCCAAATACCGTCAAGCATGGGCTCATATATGTCAGATCAGCAGGAATGAATTCAATAAGGTCTACCAACTTCTCGGAGTTCAGCTTGAGGAAAAGGTAGACATTAGCATTTCATATGTAATGATACCAAAAAAAACACCAAAATAAAGAGCATCTTGAGAAGCTATAAAATCCTTTGTACAATGGATCATATGTTCGGATTTGTGGAGAATTAGTGTTTACATGTTATTGCAAATTTATTTTGAACTTGGAATTTCATGAAGTCCTAATGAAAAGATTCTTTTACCTGATTATCTAAGCTATTCCAATCTGTTATCAGAAATATATATATATATATATATATATATATATACTGGTCTTCGAATGACAATAATGATAAATGAAATAAATATAGAAGATTAACATATATACCTTATTCCTATTTGCTTGTTCATAGGGAGAGAGTTTCTATAATACATACATCCCTATGGTCATTAAGACCTTAAGCAATCAAGGTATCATTGAAAAGAATGAGGGAGCTTCTGTAATCTATGCTGGAAAGAAATGTCTTATTGTTGTGAAGAGTGATGGTGGTTACAACTATGATTCAACTGATTTAGCTGCTCTGTGGTAAGTTTATTTCCTACGTGTCCTTTCTACTTATTTATTTAGCTTCTCCTTTATGTTTCTCTTGCATGCAACTTACATAATGTAACCTATTTGATAGTTTGAGCAGTCTGAATAATAAAATTGATTTTCCTTTTTAGTTTTTGTTTAATTTCCATCTATCTTAAACCACGGAAATCTATTATCAATTTCTTCAACTCTGTAGAATTCTTTGTAAACTACATCGATAAATTTTCTGTTTCTTGATGCAATGACGTCCGGATCATTTACCAAGTATTGCCTTGAGAACTAACTAAACAAAATGTTCATCTGGTGATCACCAGAAGAAACCCTGTGCTGTTGACTTAGCTTACTGCAACTATTAGCTCTATCTTCTTCATCCATTGTGTAACATTGTCAACAGTGGTTCGTTCCATTCTATAACTTTCTCCTTCAAACAAGTAATTTAGAGAAGTTTTGGGGTGCCTTTTGGTCGAAACAGTTTTATGGTCCTCAGTCATTGTTAGTGGGATAGTTTAACTAATCAGTTTTCTCATGAATAAGTCTTTGTGGTAACAACCAAGCCCTATATTCAGAATGCTTGGATTAGATTACACCATGTGAGCTGTTGACGGAAGATCTGTCTTAAAATTATAGTAAATCGATTGGCAACAAGATGGTTACCTCTTCTATCCGCTCTCTCTACCTTTTCTAACCTTCCCCATTTTCTACCTCTGGGTTTTCTATCTCTAAGCTATGACCTAAGTTGTCCAATAATTTCTGGATCCGGAAGGAGCTACCTGATTTTGGTAAATTGGAAAAATTCTATTCTGGCAGGCTTTTGTGGGGTTTATAAGAGTTGGATATGTCCTATATGCAAAGGGCATTGAACGTCTCTCAGTTTGTTTTTTTGTATGCATTTTAAAGGATAGTTTTGACTCACTAGTAGTCCACATTTTAGCTTGGATACCACTTAATGTGTTTCTTTTGTAAAAGGATGGGAATAATAGTTTTATTATATTTGTTTGAGTAATAATGAGTTGTCTATGAAGCAAACTGCAGGTTGGGTTGGGTTGAAATTTAAATTTGTCTCGTGTTGTTTTCTATGCATAGGTATCGCCTTAATGAAGAGCAGGCTGACTGGATTGTATATGTTACTGATGTTGGCCAGCAAGAACACTTTGATATGGTATTCAATGTAAGTATCTGTGTTTACAGCTTGTATCTTGTGTGAGATGCCAAGTACGATGGCTCCATTCTTTTAATTTTGTCCTTTCACGTTTCTAATTCCATTTGCAAATTTATTTACCAAATGTGGTATATAGGGCCAAACTTATAATCTGTTTCCATCTTGTCCATGGCTCTTGCAATTCTTTATCAGAAATTGGGAATTGACGGTCTTTTTTTTCATTTAGGCTGCTAGAGCTGCAGGTTGGCTCCCGGCCGATAATGGTACCTATCCTAAAGCTAGCCATGTTGGATTTGGCCTTGTTCTTGGAGATGATGGCAAGCGCTTCAGAACTCGGTCCACTGAAGTGGTTCGACTAATTGATTTGCTTGATGAAGCCAAGACTCGTTGCAAAGCAGAACTCGTTAAGCGTGGTATGGAAACTAGAATTATTTCTGATTAATCATTATTTTTCTTTGGTTTCTGTCCTTGCTCATTCACCTTGCGATTCTTATTTTCTTCTTTGCACAAATATTTAAAACCTGCTGACCTTGCTTTGGAATGAAAAAAGATAATGAGCATACTGCTGAGTCAATTGGTTATGAAGTTGAGACCCTCACCAAAAGGTTGCTGCGTGATTGTGGTATGAATCCTTGAATAATCTTTCATTTCTGTGTTAGTTGTGTGTATTTCCTAATCATCTTTTCTTCTGTTAGTTTACATTTCTTTATGCCTATATATTTACAATTATTATTTACCTTCCTCCACAATGCAATGGTAGTCACGTATGATTTCAGCTTCAATAAATGTTGTTTTATTTCTCCCGGATAGGTGATAGCAAAGAGTGGCCTGACGAGTTGCTTGAGAATACTGCAAAAGAAATTGGTTTTGAAGCCAAGACTCATAGCCAAGCAGCACTACTTGACTGTGGTATGACAATTGGAATTATATATAATCTATGAGATGGCTCTTGCTTATGTATTTTAATATTATCATACTTAATTATAACCATTACATATGTTTAATCTGATACTTGACTACAGCGTGACTTATCTTTATTTGTTGCCTTGATTTTTACATAAAAGCTTTCAACTCTTCAAGTATGTAAATGTTACTTGTTATATTGAATAGGTAGGGATAAAGAATGGACTGAAGAGGAGTTAGAGCTGACGGCTAAAGCAATTGGCTACAAGACCAAGACCAGTAGCAAAGAATTACTTGCCAACCATGGTAAAACAACTTTATATGATCATCTCATACATCTGCTTCTCCTATCTCTATCTTTTATTTTACGAATAACCGCAATATAACTTACTTGTTGTTACGATGAGATTGCTTCTCTTCTAAGCATTTAACTTCTAGGGTTATTTGTGTCTACTTTATATCCTTGACAGGTATGGGCAAAGAGTGGACTGAGGAAGAGTTTGAGAGATTTGCTGAGGCAATTAAATGTGAAGTCGAGGCTTGTAGCAAGATAGTGCTTGCTGAGCAAGGTATAAATGACTGGAATAGTTATTATTCTTTTTTGTTGCTTATGTGAGATATGTCATGCTTACTTTTATGTGCTTATGTATTTTAACCCGTGTATTCTATTCAATTAGTTACAGTGAATTTCTTTATTGTAAGATTCCTTTTGCATAGCCTTCCAGCTTATAAATGTTTCCTTGAACAGTTAAGAACAAAAAGTGGACTGAAGAGGAGCTCGAAAAAACTTCAGAGGCAATTGGTTATGGTGCTATCAAGTAAGATATCTATTCTAAATGGAATGTTGAGCCATTTAAGTTGTTGTCCTTAGATCATCTCATTACTATTGGAAGTGTTTCATGTTATTGGCATATTAAAGTTTGAATTAAGCATTTGAAAGCTCTTGCAGTTAAGAGGTTTCTAGTTACAAGTTAATTCAAACCAAACTGTTCCCTAAACTAAGGAAGACTCGCTGTTGCAACCACATTTGTTGGAGCGACCATTTTATGCAAGAATCCTGAGTAGGATTTTCCATATTCATATGAGATGACAATATCATGGATAGATCTTTCAAAGGGCTGTTTTGGATGTTTAATTTTATAGCACTACAGGCTATGTTACTGCCAGTGGCATATTGAGGACGTCATCTCCCTCTCAGGAATGTAGAAAATAAATTCAATGCTTAGGTTTTCACATGTATTGGCTTTTTTATTCTTACTTCATTGAATTACTCTCTGGACTCGTAAAGAAAGTTTCACGCTTCTAAAAAATGATCTTGGACTTTTTCTTTATCACCAAAATGCCCTTGGTTTGCTTTGAGAGCAGATGAGGTTAATCCCTTGTCCTGAACATCTATATTCATAGAATGAATTCCTATGTTTTTTATTTTTAAGTTCTCTCTGTTTTATTTTAGAATTATAATGTAATAGCCTATCAAATGCTGATGGCTTGCTTCTATGTGTATGCTGCTTGAGCGCCCTACACTAGAAAAAACCTGAGGTGCCCAAATCTAATTAATTTATATATTTGTTCCCTGTCTGCGCTTTGCCTCTTTCTTTACTCTGGGTCTATGAGTGAAACTTATATACGAACCCAAAAGGGCTGGCAGTTTGGTGCTTCAACTGTGTCACATTAGTAGTAAATACATAATTCTGCTTACAGATTTATTTACATTATTACTATTCATTTTTGTCAGGTATGCTGATTTGAAGAACCACAGACTGACCAATTATACATTCAATTACGATCAAATGCTTAATGATAAGGTATATATATATGCTTCACTGTTTGCTAGACTGTGATTTCACTAAGATGAACTGGCTAATGAGAAATAAGTTATAATTTATCGAGCTTGTTAATTCTTCTTGGATATCATGCTATTGACTTCCTGTTGTAAGGTTCTCTTGTCCGTTATTCTTTCTTTTTTCATTGTTGTTGCTGCTTAGAGATGCTTCCATTACTATTTTAGTTACATAGTCCTTACCTTTAAAATAATATTTTGAACAGGGCAACACTGCTGTCTATTTGCTATATGCGCATGCTCGTATCTTCTCAATTATTAAGAAATCTGGTAAAGACATTGAGCAAGTAAAGAAAGTAAGTTCTCTTCCTAGTTGCATGGTTCAGCTTGCAGGCTTTTACATTTTCTTTGTGCTGAGTCAATTGAGGTCACTTGGAGTGTGTTGTTCATGTGTCTTGCATATATATATATATATATATATATATATATGTATGTATGTATGTATGTATGTATGTATGTATGTATGTATGTATGTATGTATACACACACACACGCACGCACGCACGCACGCACGCACGAGATATATATATATATATATATATACACACACACACACACTTAAATTCAAGTAACTATTCAAGCAAATCATTATATGTTTAGTTTAAAAATGTATTTGTTGGGGCCTTTAATTCTCTATCTTGAGTAGTTGAATTTAATTTTTTTTTGTTGCTTATCATGCCTAATTTTGGATGCAGACGTGCTCATTGGTGTTGGATCATCCTGATGAGCGAGCATTGGGGCTTCATTTACTACAATTTTCTGAGGTTAATACTTTAAGAATCTCTTCTAATCATGCTTCTGCACTTTGTTTCAGTCACCTAATGGATATATTTCCCTTTGATTTTCAGGCAATTGAGGAGGCCTGCACCAATCTCCTGCCACATTTATTGTGTGAATATCTGTATAATCTATCAGAATACTTCAATAAATTTTATTCTAAATGTCAGGTATGATCGTAAAACATACAAGATTTTGATTGGGACTTGACATTAATTTTCTGTGAATCAATTAACCAGCAAGTTATTACTTAAGTTTCCGTATGATATATATCATGTATTTGGATGAAATGTATATAAAATAACATATGGTCGGAAAATTTGGGCAGGTGATTGGTTCGAAAGAAGAATCGAGCAGACTCTTGCTATGTGAAGCAACCGCAATGGTTATGAGAACTTGTTTTTACCTTCTTGAGATTGTACCTATATTTAAGATATGATGGTAACACTAATAGTGAAGAAACCTGTAATTATTATTAGGCTCTTTTTAATACGGATAGTGAAGAACCTGTAAGTTTTTGAGCACCAAAATTGAAGTCAATTCATTTATTCTTTACAAAGTACTCCCTCCGTCCCGCAATATTTGTCCAGTATTTTTTTTGGGCCGTCCCACTATATTTGTCCACTTTCTTTAGTTAGTAAAAAAAATCTAATTAATTTCCCCCTTTTTCCTTCATGTCTTATTCCTCATTTACACTCTCATCCCACTTTGTTTCAAATTTAAGGACATTTAAGACTTTTGTGTACCTTTTTTCCTCCCTCCTTGGTATTTGTGCCACTTTGAAAGTGGACAAATATGGTGGGATGGAGGGAGTACTTGTAAAATCGTTTTAAATCAACCTAAACATATCCTCTTTTCTAAAAAAAATGCAACATATCTAAATCCTTTTCAATCCGGTGGAATATTTGACCACCTATACAGAATTCCTATATGTACCAGCAAAATATGACTATTTCAGCACAGAATTGAAAGCATTTTTCTGTAGAAGTATGTCAGCAAAATGGTTTTTATGCCAGCCCTATATAACAAATCTTCATACCCTTCAATATCTTGGCATACTCCATTATTTGTTGACAAATTCCAAAGTCTGAGTTCATTTCTTTCTCTATGTCAAATCCCATGATTTGGATATTCTCAATGAGTTGTTCATGGGCAGCCACAGCTTCCTCAGAACCCCATATTTCAGCCAGCTATAAAAACATAGATATTCAACAGAATAAAACACATCACTTGGAGTAAAGGTTTACAATTACCTTGACACGTAAATTTTAAAGCCTCGAGATTTGGAAAGCAAGCAAACAAAATAAAACACATAACTTGTAGGAGTAAAGGTTTACAATTACCTCGAAACAGGTAAATTTTAAAGCCTTGAGATTTGGAAAGCAAGCAAATGTTGGCGAAAGTGATACAATGCTTCTATGATGTGCGAATGAAACATCCAAATGTAGGGTGTGAGTAGCATAAAAGATAGGCACTTGCACACTCCTCAACACAGCCTGCAAATTTTTTTACAAAAAAAAAACAACAATTAATCATTTGAATGCACCATTAAGATCAATAATAAGACAAGGATAACGAGTTGTGTCCTTACTAAGAGAAGATCTCCATTTGTTACCAACATGGCTGTTTGTGACACTGAATTTAGGATGCATATCAATGTATTCACCATTTTGGGTCTATTCTTCTTTGGAAATGGCAAATATCCTGATCTAAAAATAGTAGACATCTCAAGGTTGGGAAACCCTCCCCCATTAAACTCATAACAAACCCCTCCATCAAGTGAGAACAAGGTGAGATTTGGGGTGTGGAGGGTAATTGATGCATTTTTTCCCCTACTAGCAAAGTTAATGGACAAGATTCGGAGCTGCTCACTAGATACAGAAATGTTAGTCATAAGATATTGGGAGAAAATCTCTACCCTCCTTAAGGATGAAGAAATTATATTCAACTCATTTAAGCCTCTTATGTTGTTCAGAATTAATGTCTCTAAACATGGAAAACTTGTAAAGGGATATCCCAACACAATAGAGTGTAATGAGAGCGTTTTAAGACTTTGAAGAGAGAATATGAAAGATGGCAGCTCAAACCCTTGGCTATCTGTAAGATCAAGAGTCAACTCTTTGATATAATTGTTGTTGAGAAGAGCATTTTCTAGCCATTTAAGCAGTATGTGTTTCTCAGCTTGTGAAGATACATTTAAAAACATCCAGTAAACCTCCAAAACCTCAATGTTCTTTAACCTGCTCTCCCCAAGCCAATACTTGTCAACAAACCTAAGAAAATCGTCCCTCCTCTCCAATTTTATATTCCTCAAATCGACTTGAACCTTAGGCTTGGAATCACAGAGATTTAAACACCTTTTGGAGAGAATTCTCAACTTAACAGCATCCTTCTGATCAAGAGAACTAAAAATCTTCCTTAGAATATCATCTGGAAAATCCAAAAACCTAGATTGAGCAGGTTGTTTTGTTTTTGTTAATATCCAGATATTGATGCCGATAAATCCAAGCAGTGGATATCCATCTCTAACACAATTCATTAGAAAATAAAGCACATTCGCTTCTGAAGCCTTGAGCAAGTCAATCACATTTCTGAAAAAAGCCAACAGACCTCCTGATTCTGCCATCACTTGGAGGATGGTAAAAGTAGAACAGAAACGGAGTTCGCAGGACTTCAAAATCAAAGCTGTGAAATGAAGGAGAAAATTATTCGCACAATCACTAATCTGAAAAATAGATTCAGTAAAGTGATTAATAACAAAAATTACTAAATGATGTGAAATAGTAGTTTCATAGCAGTTAATTCGGTGGATTCTCGGCCTTTTAGCGAAATTCAGAAAACATCGAGCTCTGTTTTGGACAATACAACCGTCAGTGATCGGAAGAAAAATTAGGAAGTTTATTTCGAATTCATTTGATCTTAGAAGCTCATTCCCGCGCGCTCAATAATGAAACACAGCAAAATCATCAACAAACGCAATCAATACCAGATGAAAGATTGAGTCGAACAGAAGAATTTCATCAACAAACGCAATCAATACTAGATGGAAGATGAAATCGAACAGAGGAATTCATTGAATTAACAGCTTGACTTACGACGGAAATCATCTCGAGTGAAAACATTCCGCAAACTTATTCCAGAATGTGCTTTCTGGTATTTTTATACAAAAACTGGCTATTTCTCTAACTGACTTTGGCGCGCAATCTCAATTTGGTTGCGTGCGTAAACAATCCTCAGCCAAACGATTGTGATCCACGTCAACTTGGGAAAACAATATTGACGGTCAGATATGATTAAGTGGAGAAGTCATCAACTCTCCATTAAACGCTTACTAAACATGATTTAGTTTTTGTGGCTGTCCTATTAAAATGAGACACGTGGAACAAATAGTACTGAAAAAAATTCAAAATTATACGTAGGTCATCTTTTTCTTCCAATTTCTTATTCTTTTGCTGCCATTAAAGACCACAAACTAAATGTAACCATCTCCAGAATCTTTGATCTGTGATCTAAGTTGTCAAATAATTTCTGGATCCTGAAGGAGCTACCTGATTTTGGGTATATTGGCCATATCCTATTCTGGCACGGGGTTTGTAAGTGTTGATCAGTCTTTTCTGCAAAGGGCATTAAACGTCTTAGTTTATTGTTTATTTTTTGTATGCATTTTAAAGGATATTTCTGGCTCACTAATGATTGTTCCACATTTGTTTGGATACCTCTTAATGTCATAATATTATACTTGTATTTTTTTTTAGTAATAACTGCAGGTTGGGTTGGGTTGAAATTTAATTTTGTCTCATGTTGTTTGCCATGTATATAGGTATCACCTTGATGAAGAGCAGGCTATAACTTAATTGTATATGTTATTGATGTTGGCCAGAGAGAACACTTCGATATGGTATTGAATGTAAGTATCCGTGTCTACAGCTTGTATATTGTGTGAGTTGCTAAGTATGATTCCGTTCTTTTACTTTCTTCCTTTACACTATGTTTGGCTCAAGGATTTTGGAAGGAAAAGAAAAGAAAATGGTTTTCTCTCATTTTTCTCACCAAAATGGAAGAAATTTGATTTTCCCTCCACTTGGTACATTTTGCCTCCTCATTTTCTTTTCCTTCCACTTTTCCTTTCTTTTCCCCTCTAACCAAACAAGAAAAATGGTTTTCCATTTCATTTTCTTTTCTTTTCCCTTTCAAATTCCTTGAACCAAACATAGTGTTAACGTTTCCAATTCCGTTTTACAAATGTATTTACCAGATGTGGTATATAGGGCCAAACTTGCAGGTTAATCTATGGTTGTTAATTGTTGTCGCGGTCAACAATTTCCATCTTTTCCAAACTTGTAGTTTAAATTTATACTCCGTACATGATACATTTCGGCGCAGAATGTGGAATATAGGTATTGTACAAGTGCAATGATTTGGAAACTCAATTCACTCAAATTCGATCTATTTGTGCATATAGATTCCCTGGATGCATTGTGGAGTATGATAATTCATTGACTTCCCGACTTTTTTAATAGTAGCAGAACATAAAAAAAATGTGTGTCAAATTTAGTGTTCTGTTGAACATGATGATGTTATGTTTAGTTGCTCTAATGCAATATTGTCATTGAGTTTCAATAACAAATTAAAATTTGACTAAAATCTGATATGAATTGCAGAAGCTCAGACTATATCTCGAGAGGTTAAGTGGAGTAACTGGAGTTGCTCAACAAGATGGGATATCTAATTCATTTTGTGGTCCACTGCATTCGATCACAGGTTCATTATCTAATATACTAGTTTTTTGGTTGACAACAAGCTTGTCCTTGTTAGCTGGAGGCAAGTTGCTAATAGCCATAGACAGGACAGTACAGATTGTTCCGTTTCAGAATGGATGTGAATTGAAGTCTGTTAATTTGATATAGACTTACCTGTTCCTGCACCATTCTCAAGCGCTATATGGAGACATTATTTGTTATTACTTCAGAAGAAGAGAAAAGAATTAAACTCATCTTGTGTAATTTCCATTGAAATCCCAATTGATGGCATCTTGCTATCATAGTTGTGTAGGTATTATTATATTCAGGTACAGTGGTGATGAGATTGCTAATTTATTATGCAATTGATCCAAGAAATGCTGCAGCATCTCTTTATTCTTGGTTAAGCTCTTTTTCTTGCATGTGCCAAGATTCTTTGTTGGTATTTGGGAGATGGTTGGTTACGTGATTCATTGATAAGGCAACAGAAGGGAAGGTTTGATATGCATCAAAAATGGAGTTGCATTGTTGGTTTATTCACCTCTCTTTCTTTCTGGCTTCCAAAGAACAATGTTCCAACAAATTCTTCATTTTTTTTTGGAAGCAAACATCTTCAGCAGTTTAATATCAATAAAACTGAAGGCAGTACAAAAGCAAAGCAAAGCAAGTAGAAGTAAAATTAACAGCAAAATTTATTCTTCAACCACAAAAAAACCTCAAAACGACTTAGTACATCAATATTTTTTCATTAGATTATAGGACAAGGAAATGGAGCTTCTTCACAAACTTGTGTACTGCTTGAAGAAATAAGAAACGTGTTTATTAATTTCATAAGGCTTTTCTTGATTGAAAAAGTGAACTGCTTCTTTTATTTCTTGATTCACTATTGTTTGTAATGAGGCAGATTGGTTCAAGTATTTAACAACCGATGGCATAGATGACTATTTAGTGTTAAATGTTTTTGTAGATGAAATTTATGTTTCTAGTCGGTATCGTATTGACAATGAAAGATTAACAGGGGTAGCACCAGGTGAAAGTACAGGTGCAACGTTGTCTGATGACGATGATGAGCAGGACGACAGTGACACCAACTTATTTGATGGAGGTTTAGATGGATCAGACACCATGGGTTTTGGTCCCCTGGTTCCTACTGAAACTGAGAGGTCACTTATGGAGCGAGTTAGACAAGAACTGTGTTGGGAAATATCCCTCCTACATGGAGGAAGTGTCCAATTTTAATTGGACAATACTTTACATCTCTTTTACATTTGGGCTTATTTTGTGTGTGTAAAGTTTTAGCCCAAATGGTTTTTTGGTGGTCCATTCTTTTGTGTTGTCTGGCTACTAACTAAAGAAGAAAAAAAAAAGGCAGTGGCAGTAGCTAAACGCAGGAAAGAAGGAGAAAAAGAAATTTCCGCCACACTGTGCAGCAGCAACTTCTTACCTCCGGATCGAAGGCCAAACGAAGTCCGATCGTGCTCAAATTTTAGTATGTTGTTCCTCACATACTCCTCTTCAAATTCAACGGTCAGTTTCTCGTTTTGATGCCCGGAAGGCTGTTTTCTGGCTGCGTTTTCAGACCTGCATTTTTGGGAGTTTTTACTCCATTTTATGGTGAATTGTTGATTGTTGTTGTTCCAAGGTTGCTCCTTGATGATTGGGTATGCCTCTAGTGTTTACTAGAGAGGAGAACTTGTTGTACCCACTTGATTCTTGGTGATTAGTGGAAGTTTGGGTGTCGTTGTTGAGCGGCCGTGGTTTTCTCCCCGATTTGGGGTTTCCACGTAAATCGTGTGTTCTTTACTTTATTTCCGTTGCTATTTATTTGTGGTGCTGCTGCTGTTTTTTGGAGTATATTGTGCTTTGTTGTTCATCTCATTAATTTGGGAAAAAGATTTTATACGCTTCCGTTGTGTTTTGTTCTGTGCTTCCCCAACAAAGTGGTATCAGAGCTTGATTATTTTTGGTTGGTTTCTTGTGTTGTTTATGATGGATGACAAAGTAATTGTTCAAGGAATGGTTAGTTTGGACTCTACGAATTATTCAATTTGGAAAATTCGTATTGAGGATTATTTTGTATAAGGAACGTCCAACAGGTGTTGATGAGAAAGCTTGCTGATGGAACTTGGCCTTTCGATAACGTAGTTAGTCTGTTATACAAAGAAATTCACACAACGTTGTACAACGATTACTTTGATTACGAAAACTCTACACCTTCTTTGAACTTAGGTACATGCTCTCCTTGTTACGATACCCTTTTCGAAGAAACTAATCCTTCGAACTTAAATTGCAATACAAAGATGGTGATAGCATTATAGTTCACATGAACGAGTTTCAAGGTGTGGTAAACCAACTAGTCGGAATGAAGATGAAGTTGGAGGATGAACTTCAAGCTTTGTTGTTGCTTTCCTCATTGCCCGACAGTTGGGATACATTGGTGGTTTCACTTAGCAACTCTGCTCCGAATGGCAAGATGACTATGGAGATGGTCAAGGCTAGTCTTTTGAATGAAGAGGCTAGGAGGAAAGAATCAGGTTACCCTATCCAAGCCGAAGCAAATGTGATTCCAGAATCTAGCAGGGGGAGAAGCAAGAGCAGAAATCCTCATTATAGAGACAAGTCCAGAGGGAGATCCAAATCTAGAAAAAGAGATTTCATTTGCCATTACTGTCAGAAGCCGGGTCACATTGAGAGATTCTGCAGAAAGAAGAAGAGAGATATGTCCAGAGAGAGAAAAGATAAAAATGAAAATTCCGAGCATAAGCCAGAAGAGAAGAACACTACAGCCTTGGCATCTAGTGATGATGATTTGTTTGTTATCGGTGATCATGGACTATTAAATGTAGCATGTGATGACTGCACCTGGGTGATTGATTCTGGTGCATCTTATCATATTACCTCACACATGGAGTACTTCTCATCCTATACTAGTGGTGATTTTGGCCATGTGAGGATGGGAAATGATGGTTCGTCTAAGATCATCGGTATGGGTGATGTTTGTTTAGAGACTTCCACTGGTTGCAGGTTGGTGCTCAGGGATGTGAGGCACGTCCCCGATATCAGATTGAGTTTGATTTCAGCTGGTTTGCTTGATGATGAAGGTTATGCCAACAAATTTTGTGATGGAAGATGGAAACTCTCCAGGGGCAGTTTGATTATGGCTCGAGGTAAGAAGCAGAATTCACTTTATGTTATGCAGGCCAGAGTATGTAGCGGAGATGCCAATGTAGCAGATGATGCCTCCGGTGATTTGTGGCATAAGAGGCTTGGTCACATGAGTCAAAAGGGCATGCAGATCCTTTCCAGAAAAGATTATCTCCCCGATGTTTCAGGTATGCCTTTAAACTCTTGTGTTGATTGTTTAGCCGGAAAACAACACAGAGTTGCATTTCATACTCGCCCTCCACATAGAAGAAAGCATGCTTTAGATCTTGTTCATACTGATGTTTGCTCTGTGGATGCTAGATCACACCGTGGTGCACAATATTTTGTGACTTTTATTGATGATTTTTCTAGAAAAGTGTGGGCTTTTGTTTTGAAAAATAAAGACCAGGTACTTGAAGCTTTTAAGGAGTTTCATGCCAGAGTTGAAAGAGAAAGTGGCCGAAAGCTCAAGTGTGTCAGATCAGACAATGGTGGCGAGTACAGGGGTCCATTTGAGAATTATTGCAAAAGTCAGGGCATCAAGCTTGAGAAGACAGTTCCAAAGACACCTCAGCTTAATGGAGTTGCAGAAAGAATGAACAGAACCATTGAGGAGAGAATCAAGTGTATGCTATCTCATGTTAAGCTGCCAAAGTCCTTTTGGGCGGAGGCAATGTTTACTGCAGTGTACCTGATTAACCTTTCCCCTTCAGTTCCTCTTGAAGGTGATGTTCCTCAGAGAGTTTGGTCAGGGAAAGATGTCTCCTATAAGCATTTGAGAGTCTTTGGTTGCAGAGCATTTGTTCATATTCCCAGAGATGAGAGATCCCAGCTTGATAAGAAGACCAAAGAGTGCATATTTTTGGGGTATTCAGAGGATGAGTTTGGGTACAGACTATGGGATCCACGTGATAGGAAAGTGATCAGAAGCAGGGATGTGGTTTTCTTTGAAGATCAGACTATTGAAGATTGTGAGAAGAAGCAGGCAAATCCTTCTCCATGCATCACAGTTGATCCAGTTCCATCTCTTCCTCCTGTTGTAGTCCCTTAAGATCATGGGGGAGATATGCATGATCATACAGTTGAGTCCCCTGCAGATGACCATCATGATGATGATAATCATGATGATGGTGGTGATGGGGTTCCAGAGTCACAACCACATTCAGAGCCGCCACCAGCACCTCAGTTGAGAAGATCCACCAGAGTCAGAAAACCTTCCACGAGACTTTCGGAGGATGATTTGTGTTAGTCACGGATGGAGGAGAGCCAGAGACATATGATGAGGCTATGTCACATGTGCACCGCGAGAAGTGGTACGATGCCATGCAAGATGAGATGACGGCCTTGCATGAGAACCACACATATGAGCTTGTAGAGTTGCCTAAAGGCCAAAGAGCACTCAAGAACAAGTGGGTATACAGACTGAAGAGTGATGAGAGTAGCTCACAACCAAGGTACAAGGCAAGATTGGTTGTGAAGGGTTTCAGTCAAAAGAAGGGCATAGATTTTGATGAGATATTTTCTCCCGTTGTGAAGATGACCTCTATTCGAGTTATACTTGGCTTAGCTGCGAGCATGGATTTGGAGATTGAGCAACTTGATGTGAAGACAACATTTCTTCATGGTGACCTTGATAAGGAAATCTACATGGAGCAACCTGAAGGCTTTCAGGTTAAGGGAAAGGAGAACTTAGTTTGCCGTTTGAAGAAAAGTTTGTATGGTTTGAAGCAAGCACCTCGGCAGTGGTATAAGAAGTTTGAGTCCTTTATGGTTGATCATGGCTTCCACAAAACACACGCTGATCATTGTGTGTTTGTGAAGAATTACTCCGAAGGTGACTTTCTTATTCTCCTTTTATATGTAGATGATATGTTGATTGTTGGCCTGGACACCAAGAAGATTGCTAGCTTGAAGAAGTCATTGAGTAAGTCCTTTGCAATGAAGGACTTAGGCCCTGCTAAAGAGATTTTAGCCATGAGGATCACGCGGGATAGAAAGAACAAGAAACTTTGGCTATCCCAAGAGAGATACATTGAGAAGGTGCTTGGTAGATTCAACATGAGCAATGCTAAACCCGTAAGCTCTCCACTTGCAGGCCACATGAAGTTGAGTATGGACCATTGCCCTACAAGTGAGAAAGAAAAGCAAGAGATGAACAAGGTGCCTTATGCTTCAGCCGTGGATAGTTTGATGTATGCCATGGTATGTACAAGGCCAGATATTGCACATTCAGTTGGGGTTGTTAGCCGCTACATGTCGAATCCGGGTAAAGAGCACTGGGCAGCCGTGAAATGGATTCTCAGATATCTTAGAGGTACCTCTAGAGTTTGTTTATGTTTTGGTATTGGACAGCCTGTGTTAGATGGGTACACAGATGCAGATATGTCTGGAGATGTTGATACTGCAAAGTCTACCTCGGGATACTTGATGACATTTGCTGGAGCTGCAGTTTCATGGCAATCAAGATTGCAGAAGTGTGTTGCTTTGTCCACTACTGAGGCAGAGTATATAGCAGTTGTTGAGGCAGGCAAGGAGCTGTTATGGATGAGGAATTTTCTTGAGGAGCTTGGTTTGGAACAAGAAAATTATCTTCTTCATTGTGATTCTCAAAGTGCCATCCACCTTGTCAAGAATGATGCGTTTCAATCTCGAACCAAACACATTAAGAGAAGGTATCATTGGATTCGAGAAGACGTGGAGGACAAGTCTTTTGAACTTGTGAAGATTCACACAAGTGAGAATTGCTCGGATATGTTGACCAAGACATTGCCAAAGGAGAAACTCGTGTTTTGTCGAGAGAAGGCCGGTTTGTTTGCTCACTCCATGTACGAGTGAGGGGGAGATTTGTTGGGAAATATCCCTCCTACATGGAGGAAGTGTCCAATTTTAATTGGACAATACTTTACATCTCTTTTATATTTGGGTTATTTTGTGTGTGTAAAGTTTTAGCCCAAATGGTTTTTTGGTGGTCCATTCTTTTGTGTTGTCTGGCTACTAACTAAAGAAGAAAAAAAAAAGGCAGTGGCAGTAGCTAAACGCAGGAAAGAAGGAGAAAAAGAAATTTCCGCCACACTGTGCAGCAGCAACTTCTTACCTCCGGATCGAAGGCCAAACGAAGTCCGATCGTGCTCAAATTTTAGTATGTTGTTCCTCACATACTCCTCTTCAAATCCAACGGTCAGTTTCTCGTTTTGATGCCCGGAAGGCTGTTTTCTGGCTGCGTTTTCAGACCTGCGTTTTTGGGAGTTTTTACTCCATTTTATGGTGAATTGTTGATTGTTGTTGTTCCAAGGTTGCTCCTTGATGATTGGGTATGCCTCTAGTGTTTACTAGAGAGGAGAAATTGTTGTACCCACTTGATTCTTGGTGATTAGTGGAAGTTTGGGTGCCGTTGTTGAGCGGCCGTGGTTTTCTCTCCGATTTGGGGTTTCCACGTAAATCGTGTGTTCTTTACTTTATTTACTTTATTTCCGTTGATATTTATTTGTGGTGCTGCTGCTGTTTTTTGGAGTATATTGTGCTTTGTTGTTCATCTCATTAATTTGGGGAAAAGATTTTATACGCTTCCGTTGTGTTTTGTTCCGTGCTTCCCCAACAAACTGAAGCATGAGCTCAAACAGGTATTTGAATGTTGTTTTTTTTTTTTTGCTTTGGTGTATTGTTGATAGTCCTCCTACCTGTTCCATAGTCTCAATGGGTTCCTGTCCTCCAGGGTTACAAAGAAAAGATAGGGGACATCAGGGAAGAAATTTTGCGTAAAAGAAGAGCTGGAAAGCTGCCCGGTGATACTACTTCTGTCCTAAAAGCCTGGTGGCAGTCACACTCAAAATGGCCTTATCCAACGGTATGGGCACGTTAGATAATGCATTATTAGACATTCCTCAGGGTCCAGAGTCCTAGCTTAGTACTTCTCTTTGTTCACTTTTGCTTTAGGAGGAAGACAAGGCAAGATTAGTTGCAGAGACTGGGTTGCAACTGAAACAGATAAACAATTGGTTCATCAACCAAAGGAAAAGAAATTGGCACAACAATTCTTTCTCCTCAACTTCTTCTCAGAAGAGCAAACGCAAGAGGTAGCAACGTGGTGACTTATGCTAATTCTCTTTTTTTAAATCCTTATAAGCAGAAGCTCAAAATCCATCTTCACACATACCAAACTCGATCCTTGGAAAAGTAGTGCAGGTGATAAATTAAGCGGCGAGCATTTCATGTGAGAAGAGACAATCGCAAGGCACATATGCTTGCTTAAAGCAGAAGAGGATGCAAGAGTCTACCAAAAGGGGGGGTGTGGCAAGCTTACAATTCTAAGACTTGTACTTGACTGGAGTATGTTGCCGTGTCATGAGTATAAGTGTATATACAGTAGCAATATTTTATTTATTTATTATTATTATTATTACTAGTATTATTATTATTTTTGGGGTGGTTGGTATGGCAGTGACATGCATCAACTTTCCTAAACGATTCAACTTTGGGGTTCAGTCAGTTATTCACAATTTTAGATGTAGATAATGACTACTTGCATCTCCAGTCAGTTTATTCATATATTTACATAAGACTACTTTAAGGTTGGATTGCACATTAACTGCATGTTTCGTGTGTGTGTGTGTGTGTAATTATTGGTATGCTAAGGATGCCAAATTTGTTTGTGCCAAAAGCCCAAAACCATGCAACTGGTGCATAAACTACCAAGGACTAAATATTAAATGAAAAGAGGGATTATTCACATGAAACTTGATTGAGGGAGAAAAACAATATAATTCTAATTGATCTTTTTTTTACCTAATGGCCCTAAGGACAGTTTGGCTTTTAATTTCCTAGCTATCAGCTATGTAAGTTTTGACACACTGATCAAATCAATTGGAAAACAGAAGTGAAGAAGGGTGCTATAAGTAAAAGGTGTTAGTGCCTACGATTAAGTCCTAGGTTGTTGGGGTGGGGCTTTTGCAGGGAAGTTGTTGGCTGCTATAGCTCGCAACTCGTTGGCAATCTCCGTGAATGTTGGCCTTTCCGATGGTTCTGCAGACCAGCATCTCTCCATCAGTGCTTTCCAATCTGCGTCGCAAGTTTCCGGTACACGCGGCCGCAGTGTGTTGTTCACTATACCACCTGTCATCATCCCAAACCTCAATCTCAATCCAACTCAAACTAAAACTATTGATTTTATAAAAACTGTACGGAATTGATGAAATTGGAATTGAAATTCCATGATATTCAATTCCATAGAATTGAATTCACCAATTCTCATTCATTTTTTGCACTATCAATTCCAAACCAACATAATTTCTGTGCTACCAAACACCAGAATTGGAATTAAAGTCTTCAATTCCAATTCCATTGTTTGAATTCCGTGTACCAAACGGAGCCTAAAATGGTTGGTTATACCATGTATGAAGAACTCACCAATTATGGCGCCATAGTGCAAGTCCACATAGGGCTCTTCCCCAGTCAGAAGTTCCCACATCACAATTCCAAATGAAAACACATCAACCTAAAGGCACAAAAAAACAAATGAAAATATTGAGTCGTTGATTCTGGTGACTCAATAATCTTGAGCCAGACTGATTAATGGAGATATCAATACAAATCTGATACGGAGTACAATTTAGGAGGGGAGAGATGAGAACCCACCTTCTCGCAGACAAGGCTGCTGCTGCCATTGAGAAGTTCAGGTGCCATCCAAGGGAGAGTTCCTCTCACCCCACCTGAGATTAATGTCTGGCATTTCACTTTGGACAGCCCCAAATCACCAACCTAAGCAGAGCAATAAAATGTAAGCCAGGGTTTTGATTTTTACTGAATTTGCATGCATGATGAGTTGATAGCTCAGGGTGCAGTGATCTGCTAATATAAGGGTGTGTAAATGTTCTAACCTTGCATATTGGGCGCTGTGGATCACGGAGGTTAACCAATAAATTATCACTTTTCAAATCAAAGTGCACTATGTTTTTGCCATGCAAGTACTCCATTCCAAAAGCTACATCCATTGCTATCAAGAGACGCTTCCTCTTATCAAGAATCCTGACCACATTCAACAACAATTCATCACTTCCCATCATTGGTTTTAATTTCAGTAGAAAAGGGCGGCAACAACCCCAGAGATGAAACGAAAAGGATGTAACAAGCAAAGCAATATTATGATTCAAAAAGATAAGTAAACACACATTGTTACCTCTCACTCTTCTGTAGAGCAGTCCTCAAAGAGCCATTGACCATGTACTCAGTAACAGTTGCCACAGAACCTCCAGGTCCGTCAAGCACAACCCCATAGAAAGCAACAACGTTTGGATGGTGCAAGTCTGCAAGTTTGATTGCCTCATTCCAGAAGTCATCCCTCTAAATGACAGAAACATTACTCCATATTTATCATGTAAGCAAAAAAAACGGAAGGACTTATTATGTAGTGAAAGTAAAGCTTCTTTGTTTGGTACGCCAGAACAAGACTTCCAAAAGGTCGTTTTGTGGACAGTAATTAAGAAAACTAACGTTGTAGTCAGGGAGAGGTGAAAGGTACTATTTGTCACGGTTTTCAAGGACTAGGGTTGAGAGATTAGAGAAGTTCCAGTGATAAGAAATATTAGATAGGATCAACATCATGAGACAGAAACAGTGGAAGTTGGATTACTGACTGAACAAGAAAATGAACTTTTAAATACATCAGTCATTTATTGAAGCAGAATAGAGCGTATATGTCGAACCTGTAAGCGCCCAATGTCACCCGAAACTGGAGAACCAAAACTTTCCTTCACCGGAAGTTTTGTTTTCACTTCCTGAAAACATTATACGGTTTTAAAAAATGTTGGACAGCCAATACAAGATTACAGACATCTATTGTGCTGCTATACACAAACAAAAAGACCTCGAGTTTATCTCTATACTGCCTTTCTCCTTGACCAATCTGGACTACACTACTCCGTTCACTTGTAGATGGAGAGGAGCCCTTCCCATAATTCGGGGTAGAAGATGAAGGAAGAACAGAAGCAGCTACGTCTTCAGCAACAGTCTGAAGATCCTGCTTGATCATTAGTTCCTCCCCTGAGTAGACAAAGAAGGAAACAAAAAAAATAGCGAGTATAAGAGCATAAGAATCCAAAGATGGCAAAGAGACAAGGAGTATGCACGACAAAGAACAAAATTAACTTGCCTTTGTTGGATGAAACATGTTCCAAACCAAAATCCATGTCCAAATAGCTACAAGTATTGTCCTTAAGGAAGACCTTGTCATCCACTGGGTCCTTTCTCACTTGAAGTTTGTTGGGTTGAAGAGAGAAACGAGCATCGTGATGCTGCATCCTCCATGGGTCTTGGTTGCTGAACTGTGAATTTGCACTTTCCTGTGCATCTCCTCCTAATTCACGCGATGCAGATAGTGATGATCCATTCCCATCTGTTGACATGAAATCAGTGCCACGTGGAATAAGTTCACAACTGCCAAGAGATATATCATTTGGTGGGACCAAACAGTTAACTCCCGGCTGCTTTGAATGCACAAACACATTACTAGACTTCCCCAAAAGAGGTTGGTCTTGTGCCCAAATGTTCTGAAAGCATACTGCTTCATTTGGGGAAGTGGGTGAGGCTTCATAAGGCTTTACTTTACTTCTACTCTCCAAAAATTCAGTGTTTCTGATATTATCAACTGTAGGCGACAACTTATTATTAATATTCTGCTCACTATTCACTAGAATATCATCCCGTTGCATCCGAAGGTTTTCCATCTTATCCTCGATATGCTTCAGGTGTCCATAATAAGCATTTGAAGAATCATCATTCTTACCTTCTTTAGGAAGGGAATTACCAGTGTAGTTATTAGGTGATTCGCGGGTAAGGTATTCTGTAGTTGTGGGCAGACGCATGCCAGCAACAAGGAGATCACTCGGAACTGCATTACTAGCCACTGCCTCCGGACGGTATTGCGTCGAAACATTAGATTGAGGGCACTCCAAAAGGGCTCCAGAAGTGGCAGCCCTGGGCAGCTTAAAGGGATCAGCAGATATGATGCTGCTGCTAACCGGGCTACCCCTCTTGTCTTGTGCAACAGTATCTGAATGTGCATGAGGCAATGATTTTTGGCACATGTGACAGTCATCGTACCGGGGCGTCGGATGAGCAAGAGTCACCACCTGCGCATCAGAGACCGACACCTGTAGTGGTGGAGAATAAGGAACAGGGTGGTGATGATGGTGCAAGCCATGATGTGGCCCACCCAACACTGTAGTCTGTTGGGGTTGAAACATAGGCACAAATTTGTTACTACTCATTGTGGTGTGAACTGCAGGAACAAACTGTGGATGGTGAGAGTACACGGGCCCAACCGTGCCCATGAGCTGCGTTGGAAGGCCCATCTGGTGATCCACATAAGGTGGCACATGTGGCGATGGCATTGGGAAACTCACACCTGCCTGTTGGTTCAGATCATAGCCTGCTGTTTGTTGCTGCAGTGAGGCAGCAGCAAAAGGCAAAGGCTTATTCGATAAATTTTCAGATGCAGCAGCAAAAGGAGTGGAAGGACCAGCCATAACCATGGGAATGCCACAAGAAGAAGTAGTGTTCACATAAACCGCGGGGCTACTACTACTACTAGTATCATTGCACGCCATTCTCGAAGCCCCATCCTGCTCAGAAATTGCATCAGAAGACGGTGACCTTGCGATGATGTCTGGATGACCATGGCAATCACCAACCTCAACGCTACTAACGTCCGAGTTCTGAGTCGAAACACTGTTCAATCTCGTTATACCGCCGCTAATTCCGCCATCACCGATTCCGTTCACGGCGTCCACGTACCGCTGCCGGCTATCCTGCATGTCGGCGGCAAAGTGAATGGTTGCGGTAGCAGGGGAATCAACGTCGCAGGGTGGGAACAGAAACACCCTGAGCTTAGCGGATCCGTCGGATGATCTCTCAACCAGCTTTTGATACTCATCCATCATGTTCTCAAAATCATCTGGGCATGAGATGGAGACGAGGGCGTCGAGGTCCTCGTCCGGCAATTGGTACTTTATCACCGCGTCCTGCCCACATGTATCCGTGAGCTTCTTCACCAGTTCAGGGAAGCTCACGTCTCTTCTGAGGCTGACGATCCTCGTTTGGCCTCCCACATACCTCAAAGCTCCATCACTCGGTCTGGGCAATATTTTCCCTCCGAAACTGCACAAAAACTTGAGTTTCCTGCCGGGGGTGGATTCATCGCCGCCGCCCCCTTCGTCGCTGGCGTGATCGGATGCACAGCTGGAGCACTGTGCGTTGAAATTATTGGGAGAGTTCTGACTGAATCCAAGACTAGGGGTCGCGGCAGCCACAACGGGGGTTGGGGGGACGACCTGTTGGACCCACCTGGCCACGGCAGGAGGGGCGTTGCTAAACCCTAGCCCCACGTATCCGGCATCACTGGGCCCACTCGCGGAATAATACACCACGGGTATGGTCCCGCCGCCGGGATTGGCATCCCGCGGGTGGTGAGACGCGAAGTACCCGTCGATTGGCCTGCCGGAAGACGTGGCCGGAGAGATGCGAGGATCTTCTGGAAGCGTCCTGCCGCCGATGTTCAATGGCCGTAAATCATTGGGCGTTGAGTTCTGTTCATTCTTCTTCAATGGCATCATATATTCTTTTACCAATTCCGGATTTTGCAAAACCAAAACCCTTGTTTTTTTTCTTTCTTTCAAATAAAAAATCAAAAAAAAAAGGGAGAGAAAATCAATTCCGGCGGAATTCCCGTCCTGCACTCAGCCTTATCTATCTTCAATCAATCAGCTGCTTGCATCAAATATAATTAACAGAAGGATGTGAGGTTCGAAGCATTATATATTATACATCATCATATCCTATGCAATCAGATAACCGATAATATGTGCCCGCCCGACCCGACCCAATTCGCAGAATAGCATTAGAAAGCGGAAAACACGGAATTATAAGAAGAAGAAGAAGAAGAAGAAGAAAAAGTACCAATTTTGGCGGTGGCAAGCCCGGGAAATTGAACAATCTCTATGTCTCTCTCTGAGTATTCTTCTTCTTCTTCTTCTTCGTCGAGAAAGAAGCTCTGAGAATGAACGAATGGATGAATGAAAGAGAGAGAGAGAAAAGAAGGATGGGGTTATTATAGTTATGGGGGACTGTACGGTAGCGCGCGTAGAAAAAAGCTTCCGTGAATCCGTATGCTGTTGAAAAAGATACGCCCTCTGCTCCCCTCTCTACGAACATACGGAGTATTATTATACCTGCACAACTCGGGTCGGCCTGTTCCGCCAGCAGATATGAGCGACCCATTTTAGTCTTTGTGGATTTAGTTGGGCCGACTCACTACATAATATGAACGAACATATGTTTTACGTTTGGCCCACGTGAACCATCAAGCCCGTCCACATCCCTGCATGAAAAAAAGAATACGGAGTACTCTCTATAAACATGCACAATATAATATGCAAGATTGCATTGCAAGTATATCTTTTTGATATTTTGATTAGACCAATTATATTACTCCCTCCGTCCCACAAAAAAGTTCTCATTTTGAATAATATTTAGTCACACGCTTTGATGACAAATTGTGAGATAGGTATATTGAATTATAAAGTAAATTTAATATAATTGGATTAATCCTAGGATCTAGTTTTGATATTTCAATTTTTTTTAGCAAAGGATGTTTAGGTTCATTCTCTCACGATCAAAATTTTAATTCATACATACTCTTTATTAATCTTAGATTCGCGTGTTCCCAATGCTTAATCAAGCCCACTGATTAATCGACACAGGTGCATCAACGATAGATACGACTCCTTACTCTTACCGAGAAAATGCTTAATTTTTTAAGATATAGAAAATTCCTCTCACATTATATGTTCCTAAAACAACATATAAAAAAAGGGTAATTTACCTAAATATGACTAAAACATAATGACTTTTTCAATATAGAACCATATGTTTTTATTTCCTAATGTAGGACCATTGGTCATTTTCAATTAGTCATTATTCAAGTAAATGTCTAGCATCACTTGAATATCATTTTTCTCACTGGTCATTATTAAGTCATATTTAGAGAATAAAAAAGTTTAAGTCCTACATTGGAAAATGACTTATGTTTTAATCTTATTCAGTGCAAATTTTACTTTAAAAAAGGTAATTAACTCAATTCACACGCAAACCAGATGGAACTCTATAACAGCGCAGCCATGGATCTACCATGTAAATAAGATGGACGAACCAGATTGGCAAGCGGCTAGGCGGGAAACTCTTATTTTACAAAAAAATGTGTGATTTCTTTTGTTTTTGTAGATAGTATAGATAAGAATACAAATATTGCTTTTAATGTTAAAGATCTTGTAATTTAATAACATCGATGTGGTTCTCTGAAATGAGAATCCATCTTATGGCCGAGAGGCTTCATGGTTGAGGAAAACTATGAGCGTATCCAACTAATAAAAAACGACATATTATTAACTTATTGTGGCCACATAATATTAATTTTCAAATCTTATTGAACAATTTATAAAGTACAACATCTGTTACATTTGTTTCAAAGTATTTGTATAATTTCAATTTTTTGTAGTTAAAATTGAAAAAAATTCACTATTAATTAAATTAAATTTATATTAGGTATTGAAAAAAAAATTAAGGGAAATTTACTTAAATAACGTTAAAATATAATGATTTTTCTAAACAAAATCAGAAGTGTTCGTTATAAGCGGATATTATTCCTCCTTTTGGACATTATTAAATGTCATGGAATGTGCTTGTGTTATTTATGAAAAGAGCAATGATAGGGGTACTCCAAAGGTGCATTCCAAATGTACACTACCCCCTTCTCTAGGGGTGTTCAAAAATATCCGATCCGAAAAATCCGTCCATGATCCGGGCATATTCGATCCGAAAAACGGATATCCGATCCGATATTTTGGCTTTCGGATATTTCAAATCGGATATCCAAAAAAAATCGGATCGGATATGGATTCAATTTCTGGAATTTTTCGAATAATCGGATATCCGAATTTTTTTTGCTTATATGTTTAATGGAATTTTATGAATATGTATTATGGGTATGTGTTTAATGCAATTTTATGTTGATTTTGGAACTAAAGCATTTTGGACTTTTTGCATTAGCATTTTAAAACTTTTTGTTTTAATAGTAATTTTTTTTGTTTGTTTAGGCAAAATTACCAAAGTTACTCCCAAATTAAATTTGGTATCAATTTTTTATTAGACCATTATCTTGTAGTGAAATTTTTCTTTTAGTAAATCTATATTGAATTTGATATTGTGGGTTGATTTTGCTATTTTACCTTTTTTTTTGTAAATTTTGGCTAAAAAATCATTTTTTCGGATAATCCAGTGATCCGATCCGAAAATTCGAATATCTGAATTTTGGATATCCGAATATTTTCGGATCGGATATGGAATGATTTTTGCTTGATCCAAAATTTTTGGATATCCGAATTTTCGGATCGCATCAGATCGGATCGATCCGATTGAACAGCCCAACCTTCTCTACCACTCATTTTTATTTACTTATTTTTTTTAATTTTCTTTCTTTTTATTGTGGACAATGAAATGCCGTACACCTTATAAAAAACAGGGGACGCAATCGGGACAGCTGAGCAATAGGACGCAAAGCTGCACCTTCATCTTTTTGAGACCATCTTCCTCTTCAAATCCAAGGTTTAAAATCATCTTTTGATCATCAATATATCAGTTGTGTGCTTGTTTATTCATCTATTGTATGCTTTCATTCTTGAGCAAAGATTCACCTTTTAGTTTTAAAAATCAAATTTCTAGTGCTGTTTCTTCTAGCTTTAGAAATGAAAATTCTAGTGGTATTGAACCTAAGCACGAACCTTCGCGTGTTCTTGTTTATTGACGTAATCTAATGTCGATTCAATTTAACATGGATTTTTCTTCAATTGGGTTTCGATTAAAACATGGGTTTTGTGGTATTTTCAAATTTAAGATAAAAATTGGGGCTTCTTTATTTTAAACACTTCCTCCATCCCAAAATAAAAATTGGGGATATTTTTTGTTAGTTTAGATATGTGTTTGTCATTTTTTGAAAACATTACGAGTTTTTTTATTTCTGTTTATCTGCATTTCTGTTTTTTAAATGGTGGGAGTATGCCTGGAGTATTATCAATTCCATCAATAAATCTGAATTTCTTAAGTTAGTATTTTTTTATTGATTAGGGAAAAAAGAATTTTTTTTGCAGATACAGTGGATTGCTAATGTTCAGTGAGTTTTTTGGGTTCAATTCGTTGAGTAAGAGCACAAATTGTTTTACCCTTTCCATTATTTGGGTGGAGATAGACTTCTAAATGTTTGAATTTTGATATTTGGAACCACAAAATAGCGTGTCATGGGGATATGATCAAAATAGCGTAATACGGAGTATAAAATTCTTGATTATATTTAATGTTTTTGTGATTTGTCTTGAAAGAAGTTCATATACCACATTAAAGCATGATGATTTTTTCTAGTTTAGTCAACAATGTATGTACTCCCTTGCCAGGATTTCCATTAGTCTACCTTATCCATGGAACAATATCCCTTTGCTTGTGAGATTGTAAATTTGTAATTTTCATTTGAAGGATGCCTGGTAATTGACTAATTCTTGAACTCTTCATTTTGCTTTTAAACAACGCCCAACTGCCCATTGCAAATGGAGCTAAGAGAGACACTTTGGCAATGTTTTAGCTTTGAATAAATAGTGAACATATTTGAAATGGCAATGAAGACATCCCTTCTTACTTTCTATGAAGTTATGGGAAGTTAATGCATCAAGTTTAAGATAAATTGCCTCCTAGTTGTTTACGGTGGTGAGGTTGAGTACACCTTGACCCCCCCCCCCCCCCCCCNACACCACCCTCCAAATACCCCATCAGACTTCGATTTATGGTGGGGTTGTTGTTGTCTACCCATGTTGCTTTTAAACATTTAAAAAATTTATTAGCATCTAAGTTTGGCATGAAGAGCAAAGAGAGATCTATCTTAATAAACATCTGTTCGAAACTTTGCCACACAATCATGCAGATTGTTTCTTTAAATGTAGAGCATTTATTTAAAGTATTGGGCTGAGTGCTTCTGTGCTCAAGCCTCAAGGTGGTACCTCCTTGGTTGCTTCATGCTCCTCCCAATGAACATATGGGAAAAAGTGGGTTGTCATGTATAAATGCCTGCTTAGGTCAGAATTCAAGCTTTCAAAATTACATCCTTAAACAGAAACATATGGCATATTGGCATCATGGCTGACTGCTATTCACTGAAGTGATCAATTTTAGGAGTTCTATAACTTGTATAAAGCAATCGGTGTGAATGGTATGAGTTCTGGAAAACAAAAAGTGTTGTTATCATGCCAAAGTAATCAGTATGCAAAGACTGGATTTTGTTCCTTGAACTAAATTGGTGAAGATTGATATTAAACCATGCCATACCAACCCAATTTGTAAATGATTCTGGGAGGGGTGAGATCTAGGCATTTTTTACCCACTTGAAAATGATTTTGGGATAGTGACCGATTTAAATGTCCTTTTGTTGGTGTTGTTGTAGGATGGCAGAATTAGAAGCACCGTTCAGGCCGAGGGAGAAGCTGATTGAGAAGCAGAAGTTTTACCAGACGATTCACAAACACACACATCTCAAGGGTCCCTACGATAGGATAACCTCAGTTGCCATTCCACTTGCATTGGCGGCGACTTCGCTGTATATGATTGTGAGTAGTTCCAACATACAATAGTTCTCGATCGTGTTGTTATTATATATTCACCAATCAAACGGCGCATGAATGGGTTCTAATGATGCTTTTTTTTTGCGAAACGGTGTTTCAGGGGCGAGGGATCTACAACATGTCTCATGGCATTGGGAAGAAGGAATGAAGTCGTCCTCATCATCATCAACTGAGGATCTCTTTTATGTTTTTTTGAATGAGACACTGTTTCTTGCTAATAAGGGCAGACATATTTTGACGGTCTTGTGATTGAAACTCAATGGTTTTTTTAAAAACCTTTTGATCTGCATTGGATTTGCTTTTACAGATGTTTTCTACAAATTACCTTACAACTCTCCTGCACTACAATATTAAAATATTATGATTGTGTAGCAAGGACAAGCATAAGGGACACACAATGACACAAAGACCAAGTCCACGGACATACATACCATATAAAATCCTTCTACTATGTCAAATATATTAAATAGAAAAATAGAAATTTAATTCAGACTTATCCACACAAGTCCATTTTATTCGCTTTTCTCAATCACATATTCACATGTCTATTAGTAAAAGATTTTATGAATTAGGGGAAGGGAAGGGAAAAGTATCTCACATGGTGAAAGTTGAAACACTCATTTATTGCAATCTTTTATTTTAAGGCTATTTATTGCAATCTTTAATCTAATATTTTGATCATTATTTAAAACTAAACATTTTAAATACATTATTTCCTCCATGTCATATGGGGTATTTTTTCTTTTTCCCATTCAGTTTTTTATTCAAATTCTATAAAATCTGTTGATATGTTGAAAGTCTTGATATGAACTCAATATTAATAGATTATTTTGAAATATTGTATTTTAATAATATATACTCCTCACTCCCACAAAAGTTTTACTACTACGTATATATTTCCTTTATCTATTGCACGTAATTTTGTGAGTGAAAAATTACACTAAAATATCCTCTGTAATACAAATTCAATTGCAAATTTATTTGAAAACTTTTTGGAAAATCATGATTTAATAAGATATAATTATGTACTCAGTATAAGTACATATACTCCCCATCTCACACCTGCTCTGAAAACTTTTTTGAAAAATCATGATTTAATAAGATATAATTATGTACTCTGTATAAGTATATATACTCCCCATCACACACTTGTTTTTTTGCAAGGGTAATTGGAAAAAATCATATTATTAATATATTAGTTAGAATATAAGATGTTATATCTCGTAGACATGACCCTAATCAAATTATTTCATCACACTCAAGGTTAAATCTATCAAAATGATGGGCGGGAAAATTACCCTCCAACAAGATTTAGTACTTTTTACGTCCCACAATGAATTGCACTACTTACTATTGTATGTTTTTGTTGTTATCTGATAAAATTAAATATTTTTGTCACATCTCATTTTATAAAACTTTTGATATACTAACTTTTAAGGGGCATGATAAGAGTACACTAAAATGGGGTACCCCATTTGTACACCTGACAAACACAGACAAGTATAGATGGGATACCCTATTTTGGTGTACCTCTAAGTTTGTTTAACTTTTAAATATGCAAATTTAATTTTTTATTTCTAAAGTAATCTTTAAATAAACTTGATCGAAAAATTTTACAGTAAGATTTTAATTTGTTTTGCATATATGTAATTCAGGGACTACTTTTTTTGTTTACAAATAATTTTGTCATTTTTGTTATTAACTGAAAAGGATATGGGAGACTTCACAGTTCACACTTGAGACTTTGAGCAAATTCACACCTCTACTTCTCAAGCGTCACTCAGAACGAGAAGTTTTCTGCAGATTTCAAAGAAGAAAAAAGGCTCTTCAGTCTTCTCTACTCTACCGGGGAAGGAAGAGATCGCATTTACCGATCTGCAGCTGGAGAAAATGCATATCAGCGAGAATGAGGGAATAGAGAAGAAAACGTTCGTGGTGACCGGCGGGCTGGGCTTCGTCGGCGCCGCCCTCTGCGTTGAGTTGGTCAGAAGAGGTGCCCGTCTCGTCAAGGCTTTTGATCTTCGTACCCAATCCCCTTGGTCCGATCACCTCCGCAGCTTAGGCGTTCTCTGCATCCAAGGTCCGATCACCTCCTTTTCATTTCTTCTAATTCGATTCTCTGTTTAGCTTAGCTTCAAATTCTTCAGTCATAGGAATGAAACCAATGGAATTGCATAAAAATGATCAAGTCGAAGCCAATTTCCAATTGATATTTGTTTATAATTTAAAGGTGGTTTCTTGACAAGCTACTCCCGGAATGGGATGTGGTGACTAAAATGCAGTTCTAGTTTATATACTTTTTCTGGGCTCAACAACTGGAATAGATATCGAATTTTATGTGGAGTAATTAGGTTGTGTGGTGTTTATCTCATATGTCCAAGTTTTACTTCCATTTTTAGGAGATGTTACAAACAAAAAAGATGTTGACGGTGCATTGCGTGGCGCTGATTGTGTTTTCCATCTTGCTTCGTATGGCATGTCTGGGAAGGAAATGATGCAATATGGCCGCGTGGATGAGGTTAATATAAATGGAACATGTCACATACTAGATGCTTGTGTTGAACATCATATCGGCAGGCTAGTCTATGTGAGTACATATAATGTTGTCTTTGGTGGAAAGGAGATTGTTAATGGAAATGAGAGACTGCCTTACTTTCCCATGGATGATCATGTCGATCCTTATGGACGCAGTAAAGCACTTGCCGAACAATTAGTTCTCAAGAACAACGGACGCCATTTCAGGCAAGCAATTTGAATAGCAACACATTTCTTTACCTTCGTCTTCAATGAATGTTGGTTACTCTATCATCAAGTATGTAGACTTGATTTCGACACAAACTACTATTCTAGTGTGCATAATGCAGAAACATAAATAATGTTTTGAGGAACTTTTTAGACCCTCTATCACTATAGGCAGCCGTAGATCACTTATTCCAATCAAGAAACTATATTAGAGACAGAAAGTAATAAACTAATGCTTTCATGATCTATTCCACTCACGATCCTTTTGAAATATGACAATCTGAAATACAACTCTTGTTGAAGAGTGTCATGTCTCAATTTTCACCAAAGAGAATCTTCTTTCAACAAAGGCAATTTATTCTGCATTCGGTGTACTGTGACTTTTAAGAAGTGCTCCAAATGAGTTAAATTTGTAAAGTTTTAAAACAGATGTACGTTCAATAATTTACAAGAGTGTACCTTAGCAAACCTATAAAGTTGTACATTGACAAACCACAACTCTTTTTATTGAGACGTAGAGAGTATTTCTTCTGAGTATGTCATGTTCTATCATCAAGAAACCTTAGCGGTCTATTCTATAGTATTTGTTATTCTTGAATTCATCACTTAATAAAAGAAAAGAATGATGAAAGTCTGAATCTCGGCCTTTGCTAAAAAATGGTTCTTTTATTTCCACTTTTGCACAGTAAAGAGCGTCGGAAATGTCTGTACACATGCGCAATTCGTCCTGCCGCTATCTATGGACCTGGTGAAGAAAGGCACCTACCGAGGATTATTGGTTTTGCAAAATTGGGCCTACTCCCTTTTAAGATAGGTTCAGAAAATGTGAAAACAGATTGGGTTTATGTGGATAACCTTGTGTTGGCTCTTCTATTGGCTAGTATTGGACTTTTGGATGACATCCCTGGCAAAGAGGGGACACCAGTTGCTTCTGGTCAAGCTTACTTCATATCAGATGGTATCTTTCCCATTACTCGTATTCAATCTCTACACTCTTAAGCATGTTTGGATCCCAGAAATAGTGGAAAGTGTTAGTGAAATGGGAAAGGCAATACACTCGATGTAGCTAAAACACATGTTTTTCCAGGAATACTTCCTTTTATCATCTTACTATTTGCTATCTTTGTGGTCTGTAGGGTCTCCTATTAACAGTTTCGAGTTTCTTCGCCCTCTGTTGAAAAGCCTGGGGTATGAACTGCCAACGATGTCACTGGCTGTCCCTCGAGCTCTTCTTCTCGGGAACTTTTTTTGGGCTTTGTACTCCATCATGCACCCTTGGCTAAATCAGAGATGGCTTCCTCAACCCTTCATACTTCCTGCCGAGGTTAACAAGGTTTGTGTTTATTCTTTGAGAATCAACTGCACTTATTTTGACTTTGCATTTCTTAAGGGATATATAAGGTTTGGCAACAACCATTTCAGCAAAATAAACAAGTCAAAAGCCTCTACTTTTGCCTATATAAGCAAACTCTGCTCCATTTATAGCTTATTCTTTTGGCAGGTTGGTGTGACACATTACTTTTCCTATTTGAAAGCCAGAGAGGAGCTCGGATACACCCCAATGGTGACCCCTAAGGAGGGCATGGCTGCCACAATCTCATATTGGAAAGAGAGGAAGAGAAGAAGCTTAGATGGGCCAACCCTTCTTGCATGGGTGCTTGTATTGGGGGGAATGATTGCTCTATTTGGTGCTGCTTACCTGCCAGACTTTGGGCCCATTCCACTGGTAAGAGGGATTGGACTATTCGTGTTTCGCTCTGTGGGGGCACTACGGCTGTTGTTTGTTGTAGCCGTAGCATTACACCTTGGCGAGGCTGTATATGCCTGGCATCTTGCAAAGCAAGTGGATGCTGCAAATTCGTGTGGTTGGTTCTGGCAGACCTTTGCTTTGGGATTTCCCTCTTTACGTTTGTTGCTGAAGAGAGCCAAAGAGTGAGCAGACATGCATACGAAGAAATGAGTAGTGTAACATTGTGTGTGTAATTTGTCTCCCTTGTAACGAACAAATGTATGCTTTTTTTTTTCTTAGGTCGGATTCAACAGCTCGGAAGGGAGACCCATTGCTGAAAAATAACACTCAATGTAGTAATTGCTTATGATATTTTTGGGATTTCTTGGGTATAGTGAAATAATGTTGACTCTTTATTTGATTTTTGAAACTTGTTTATCAAGTACAACAAAAATAGAGCATCACAAAACAAATGGCAACATTTGCCTACAAAAGAATAAAAAATACTAGTATTGTTCAGGCTTGTTTTTTCTTTTTGGGAACTTATTCAGACCTCTTATTCACTTCCAAGTTCTTCTCCCCAGCAGCACCTTAAGCTCATCTGCAAACAGCTGATTCTCTGCAGTTGTGAACTAACTTTTCTTCTATCTCTTTCATCTGCCGCAGTGTACAAGTCAGACCCTTTTTAGGGCAAATAATATGGAGTATATAAAAGGGTTTTTTTGGTAAGATCAAATATGGCTGAAGCAGTGGATTGGGTCTAAAATTTAAAAGGGCATTCAAAATAAAATCTTCAATGAATTGATGGAAACACAAATATCTAAAAGAAGAGTATGAGGGTAACACACTACTTTTATAAACCAAAATAGGCAATACAAATTGAGACGGAAACAGGCAATACAAATTGTGACGGAAGGACCAGATATCGAGGCATGTGATCGCAAGTAGAAATTACCATTCATACGCAACTTCTCTAAATATGTGAAGCTCAACTAAATTGGCAAAGTTTCACTGAATGAGAAAGAAGAGTTCACCAAGCACAAGCTAACTACTACACCTAAACATTTGGTTCTCAAGGAGCACTGTAAATGAGAAGCTACATGTAGTAACATTGCAAGTACATGATTAAAGCATTCCCGTTTTATCCGATTATTAGTTTCAGAGTACAGAGACAAGCAATGTACATTAAGGTGCAAAGATTAAGGAGGAGAGATAATCAGTCAATCCAGGAGGCCAGCTCGTGTGTAGCTCTCTACAGAATCTCTGAGAGTTTCTTCAAGTGGTCTATAAGACCAGCCCAGCCCCTGCAACCTTTGTGAACTCACCCTGTCATTCTCCCCTTCTCTCGTCGTGGAGAAGCTGCAATTCAAGCAGCAGAACCCTTAAGAACTTTAATTGTGCTCTAACACACACACACACACACACACGTATGTACCTTTTGGGGTAATTGTAGTTCGGATACATTGTCTTCAACATTTCAACAATCTCCCCAACACTTACTGTGTGCGCGTTGCATATGTATCGACCCTCAGCCTCGGGCCTCTCGTAGATGAGAACCAGTGCTTCAGCAACATCGCGCACATCTACCACAATGCGTGTCTTGTTGTCAACTGTTTGTCCCTCTGAGAAAAAAAAGAAGAGGTAAGATGTAGCAGTAGCCTTCAAAATTACTCCCTCTGTCCCAGAAATAGGTTCCACATAGTAATAATAATAATAATAATAATAATAATAATAATAATAATAATAATAATAATAATAATAATAATAATAATAATAATGATGATGATAATAATCATAATGATAATAATAATAATCATAATGATAATAATAATAATAATAATAATGTGTGTGGTATAGTACATTAGTAAGAACCTGCTTTCAAAAGACGAAGGAGAACTGAGGTGCTAGCATTGGGTGTCTGCTGCAAGATTGGGCCGAAAACAAGTGATGGGCAAAGGGAAATGACATCAAGGCTTGTTTCTCGTGCATACCGGAGTGCTTCTTTCTCTGCCAATGTTTTCGAAAGACGACAATACCAACTCTGCATGCATACACATATATAGATATGATCATGTAGTTAACACGAACTCATATAAACAAGTATGTAGCAGGAACGTACATTTGTTTGAGTGCAGTGGTCCTCATCGGACCAACTCGTCTCATCCTTTGGTTTATGAAGGGGCCATTTAGGGTTTTCGCACACAGCCGCCACCGAAGATACAATCACTACGCGCTTCACATTTGATTCGGGACTGCTGCAGACCCTCAGCACATTCAGTGTCCCTGTCACAGCAGGCTCCAGCATGCAGTTCCTTCTTCGCATATGCAATGCATTTGCATAGTATTAACAAACAGCCCTTCCTTGAAAATTAAGGTAGACAAACAGGGGCACAGGAACATAAGACAAGATGATAACAACAACAACAATACTAAGAAGTAGGATCAGGAGGAGAGAGTGTGCAACCAAATTTTACCCCTAATAGGTAATTAGTAGAGAGGTCGTTTCCAAGAGACTCACGAATAATCAAACATAAGATGAGAGAGTTGAGTAATTAAATTAGCTTGCCTGAGCATGGGTTGGGGGGGACAGGGCCATAAGGCACGGGAGAAGCAACATGGAACACGGCCGTGCAGCCAGAAATAGCCGCAACCAACGAGTCGTAGTCCAACAAGTCGGCTTTCAGCACCTCAAGTTTCCCCTCCTCCTCTGCAATCATTTGCTTCAAGTGACCATACTTCACCACATCTCCTTTAAAGGTGAACACACAACTACAAGCAAGTGAATTTATAATGATGTAACTGTTCAATGGGTGTGCGCGCAAATGCACACATACATACCAGGGTCTCCACGAATAGTGGCATGAACGGCGTATCCCTTAGAGAGGAGAAGCTTAAGCAGCCACGAAGCAATGCACCCTCCTCCCCCCGTCACACACACCCTCTTCTCCTCACCCGACATACTCGTCTAATACTCGTATGAAGTATGACTGGTGATGGTGAACAATTTATAAGCAGTACACTTAAGCCAACCGATCCTCTGATATATGGGACCCTGTGCGATAGAAAAATATTAGAGATTTAGTTTAATTGAAATGCAATTAAAATAAAACTTATCATAAGAAAAAGATTAAAGTTTAGAGCGCATACTCTTTAAGCTTCTTTGTTGAAACTAGAATTTTCTTGGACAAATAATTACAACAA